GTAGCTGCTCAGCTATCGAGAATGCCGGCTGCTCCTCACCCCACGCTTCCCTCCCTCTCTCCCTCCCTTGCCTTCTGACGGGAGTGTCGCTCGAAGGATCATCCTTGAGGAAGTACTTGTTCAGCAGAAATATGCTAGTCTCTTCCTTCCCCTCGGTAAAGGTCCCATTTCCTTTCGCAACATTCGACGGCATCTCCTCGTAACTGTCATTGTTGAGAAGTCGATAGGAACGTTCCCATGGATTTTCATCCTGGATCCGCTTCACTCTTTCCCTTAACCATACAATTAAACTATTGCATTCCCTATCATTCGTTTATACCTGTTTCTTTCTTTCCTGTACTCACTCATCCTTCTTTTCCTTTCTTTCCCATCTCTCATACTTTGAGCTTCTCTCCTCTTTCTCCTTACGTTTCTTCGTGCGCCTTCCAGTTCCACGTTCCACCATTCCCTCTCCGTCTCAACCATCTTTCCACTCCTAGGTATACATCTCTTAGACGCTTCTTTCAATTTTTCCTGAAGCTGTAAACCTTCCCCGTCAATCTCCTCTATCATATCTAAACCTTCCTGGGTGGTGTTCGGAAATCATACGTTCCATGCCAACCCAGTCGGTTGCTCTCATATTCGTCACTATCATCCTTCTCGTCTTTGGTAACCCCATCAAACAAAATTCAATCATCCTATGATCACTCATTGTCTCTTCCATACTTACTTTCCATTCATTCACCTGCATGTTCGCGCTAATGGTCAGGTCGACCCAACTCTCACCCCTGTTGCTGGAGAAAGTGGCAGGACTCTCGCAGTCATTTTCTACCATGTACCCCTTTTCCATTATCCATTCTAGCACGTCTTCTCCCCTTTCATCCATGGTGTGACCACCCCACCCAACATTCTTCGCATTTATATCTCCAACTAATATCTTTCTTCCTTCCCATTCATCAAACAACGGATGATCCCATCCATTCTAACATTTATCCTTCCACCCGGCTCGTCATACACATTCATAATTTTTACGTTCCCTCTTTCATTTCCTACAATTGTACCTATCCCGTTTATATTACTAACATTCTTGAGGGCCAAACTATCACTGGTGGATCGAACCCAGAGGTGCGAACCTTCGTTCCTTCTCCACCATCATATTTTACCCATCCTTCCCAGGCGGGTTCTCTAGCCCAAAGTTTCTGAATGCGCACTACTGCGGCGGTTCGCTCTTCAGCAGTCCTCCGCAGTAGTGTGGTGGCTTATTTCCCCTTCCCCACGTTAAGCTGTATTACTCTGAGCATAATTAGTTATTGTTCCTTGTAGTTCGACCCTCCTCACATATACTGGGCACTTGGGATCCAATGCCGAGTGCCTCCTCTCGCTCGCACTCATCCCGACTTGTTTGCAATCCATGCAACTGAGTCCTCTATCACCCCTGCATGCAAGCCCCTCATGCTGTCCTCCACACTTGTTACAGGCTGGCTATTGCCTGCAAACTTTGGCAGTTTGCCCAAAATTGCAACATTTGTAGCACACCGCCACGCTATTGTGCTCTTACACGTATACATACATGAGATCTAGGCTCACCACACCAGCACTCATCAGCCTACGGAAGAACTTAGCATTAACCTCCATGATTACATTTCCCTTTCATTTATTAATCCGAAACTCTTTTCGCTTTCTCACTCTCGTGCTCTCTCTATCTTTCTGTGTTAAATCATCACCCACTTTCAGGTTCTGACTCAACACTCAATACTTAATCAGCTTCTCGTCCCCATATATTTCTCTACTCCAGTGAGTAGGACGTGGGGATTCGGCTTTTGATCATCCTTCACAGTAGTTGTTTACAGCTGATTCTCGGCCTCCCCCCACCACTATGACGTATTAATTGCTTTTTTTATTGGTTGTTGTTTGGTGAAGTTTTTTTGTTGTGCAGTGAAGTCAAGGCGTTGTGACCTTGAAGTGTCTGGTGCATGGATCGTTCAGATTTTTTTTTTAAGATCCTGTCCGATTCTCAACATGGTTTTTGCAAAGGCAAGTCCACTCAATCAGCTACTTGGAGATTCTTAGAAATCATATACGCTTCTTTAGATAGTGGTAAGCATGTTGCAGGAGTATTCTTCAATCTGTCACGTGCGTTCGAGTGTTTAAATTTTAAATTCATCGAGAGCAAATTATATAATCTAGGATTTAGAGGGGACTTTCTAGAATGGATCATTGACTTTCTTACAGATCGTATGATGTTCGTCAAGATTAAAGATATGAAATCAGACTATCATGATATATGTTCTGGAGTTCCTCAAGGCTCTGTGTTAGGTCCGCTGATCTTTCTGTTGTTTGTAAATGATCTGCCTACTTATTTCACCTGTAATGAATATGCTCACTCTTTTCGTAGATGACACGTCTTTAGCTGTATCAGCAGAGAGTCAGGAGGAATTAAAATCAAAAACAGAGGAATTAATATCACTGTTCTTAAATTGGTGTGAAATGAACAATCTGATTGTAAACTTGACCAAAACAAAATATATCTATTTTAGTTTAAAAAACGATCTGAAAAAGCAATCGCTTGCCTTACTAATCAATGAAATGGCACTGGCATACACAAGCTGTACAAAATTCCTTAGCGTTCATGTAGACAACTGTTTGAAGTGGTCTGGCCATATCACAGTTGTATGTAAAAAAACCAATCAAGGGTATTATGCAATCTCAAGAATTAAGAAGTGTATGCCTTTACACGCCATTTTAGATGTATATTACAGTCTGGCCTATAGCCATCTAAGTTATAACGTGATCCTATGGGGAAACAGTGCTGACAAAGATAGGGTTTTCATTGCTCAAAAAAAAGTTATTAGGAAATTACTAGGTATCCCTTGGAGGGAATCATGCAAGACATTTTTCATTAGTCATCAAATTTTAACCTTTCCCTGCATCTACATCTTTAAAATACTTTTATACGTTCGCGAATGCATAAAATGCGCTATGTATTTATAGAAATTATCTCTACTTTCAGTAATCATGCGCAATATGACGCACATTTCTGACACTTGATGTGTGTTTCGCTAACAAAGTTAGCATCATCAGTAGATATATTATATTATAATTATAGCATAATACTATCTAAAAAACATCAGATCTGTCGGCTATGATGAAATTCCTGTAAAACTACTGAAATTCACTGCGCAAGAACTTTCAAAACCCTTGATTGTCAACATGATGCTTAGTAATGGCATATTTCCCAATAAATTGAAAATTGCTCACATAAAAGCAATTTTCAAAAAAGGTGATAGAAATCTAATTGAAAATTATAGACCAATAGCTCTACTATCGACCATTAGTAAAATATTCGAAAAAGCCGTATATAATCGCCTTATAGCCTATCTAGAAAAGTTTGAGTTATTGAGTGACACCCAAAATGGCTTCCGAAGAGGCAAATCTACTACACGAGCGATTTATCAAGCCTTGTTCACAGTGCTAAATAGTCAAAATGAAAGAAAACACACTTTAATGATTTGTCTAGATCTGTCAAAAGCTTTTGACAGTGTCGACCATAATATACTAATAGGCAAGCTTGATGCCTATGGAATCGGGGGAATCTCAGCCGATTTAATAAAATCATACTTGCAAAATAGAACACAAAGAGTAGTTGAAAAATGCCACCTCACTAACGAAAACATACAGTCAGATGAATTAACAATCTTGAGAGGAGTTCCGCAAGGATCAATCTTAGGGCCATTGCTATATATTCTGTATACCAATGAGCTAGCAAATGATATTGATTTCAACACTGTGCAGTTTGCAGATGACACAAGTGTAGTAATCAAGGAACATAGTATTGAAGAATTAGACAGAAGCGTGTTTGAAGCACTGAATACATTGGAAGATTGGTTCACACATAATCACTTAAAGTTGAATATAAACAAAACACAAGTAATGAAGTTTTCCCAACAATCAACTGCATGTGAATACTCAGCCTCAGATGGTAGATCAACAATATCAGCTTGCAAAAGTACAAAGTTCTTGGGAATTGAGCTTGATCTTAGATTGGACTGGAAATCTCACCTAACCTCAAAATATTGCAAAATACTGCTATGCTCTAAGAGTACTAACTAGATCAATAGATATAAACGCTGCTATGTGTGTCTACTACGCACAAGTTCACTCAAGGATCAAGTACGGTTTAATATTCTGGGGTGCTTCGACAGATGTCCCCAAGGTATTTAAGATGCAAAAGCGATGCCTTAGAATTATATTTAACCATAATCAAACTGATAGTTGTAAACCCTTATTTATGAAAAATAAAATACTAACCTTATACAGCCAGTACATTCTTGATACTATACTATTTGTTAAGGAAAACACCAAACTATTTGAGAACTCTAAAAAGACACACATATACTCTACAAGAAATAAGTCAGGCTTGACCTGTAATACTCCAAACTTCTCATTTATTCAAAAAAACGTACCGCATACTCTAATAACAATTTACAACAAACTCCCTCTTATAGTGAGGGAATTCGATAAAACAACATTAAAAATAAAATTAAAAGCATTTTTACTTGAAAAAGCATACTATGCAACTGACGAGTATTTAAATGATACTATTATTATTTGATCTATTTGACTGCTTTTACTACAATCATGTACTCGTAAGAGCCTATATCTACATGTATTAATATTTTTATATGTATGCATATATTTTTGTGCAGTTTATGTACTGTACATCTTTTCCTCTTTTAACCTAATATTATTGTGATATATGTTTATATTTATACTGACATGTTCTATGCCCTCAGGGGTACTGTATTTTTATCCTGAACAAATAAATTTTATCTATCTATCTAAGACTTTCTTAGTCGTGGTTAAAAGAATATGCGCCGAGAGACAATAATTTTGTTCTGGTGAGGGAAAAATGTTTTGAGTAGATATAAATTATGTGTTTCATAGCGTCAGATAATTTTTGTCGCTTGCGTAATGATTCGTTATCCCAAGTGTTATATTACATTTAAATAATTTGTTTTAAGGTGAATTTTGTCAATGGCAGAATGATTGAAAATAAACAATCTCAAACTTACAAAACAATTTTACAAAACGTTATTTTGATGAGGGCCATCATTCAAGTTATCCGAAATAAAGGAGACCCAAACACTTTAACGATTTCTGAAGCAAAGGTAAATATGTTTTCATTATTGTTATCAGTTATTACTTTCTTGTGTATAATTTGTAGGAAGCATACAATTATGCCAGAGGAAATACCGCCATAGAAAAATTGAATAACATTTGGGAAGAAATTCAAAATGATGTAAATGGCCTTGTTGATAAAGTATCAACCCACAGTCAAGAAGGCGAAGGACTCAAGCAGGTAAGAAATATCACACTATAAATATTTCATCAAATATTCGTGAATTTTATCTCTCATATATATATATATATATATATATATATATATATATATATATATATATATATATTTGAGATGTTCAAAATATTGTAATTGAATTCAGTAGCCCTCAAAAATTATTGAACATTATAGTTTAACATCAGAAAGCACGAAATTTCTTTCACTAACCAAATCCATGTCATGTGTAAAAAATTGAATAAACTGTATTATGTCTTGATAGGTAGAATTGGAATGTATGGTGTAAAATGAAAATATTGAAACGCTGTAGATAGAGTCTTTCTTGTTCTGTTGTGAGAAAAGTGTAGTAGAAAATGTATTATTTCACCAGCCTCAAAGATTTCGACTGTTCATTTTTTTTAAATATTCATAAGACTTATTTTCGATTTGGACTATAACAAATTTTGTAGACATGCTTTCTAACAGAACATTATTTTAACTTTTCCAACTTACACAAGTTATTGATTTATACATTTGATAAAAAGGATAAAATTATAGTGACCTCCACGAGCATAACACCAGATGTAAAAGAGATATACACCTAAATCAATTTTATAAAACATGTTTCACAAAATCTCCTTGTGTGCAGTAGGTTCTGAAACCAGTTCCAAGGTTAGTATTGCATTATGTTGACAAATGACTTAATGCTTTAATAAATTACTGGACATGAGAAAAATACTTAATCCAGTTACCCTTCCAGTATTATCGAGTTTCATTGATTTTTACATTTCAAATTTCACTTCATTTCGTAGATAATAGAGAAGAAGGAAGGAATCATCCGAATGTGCATGATGGGCAAGCGTGTTAATTTCTCGGCTCGTTCAGTTATAACCCCGGATCCTAACCTTGATATTGACGAAATTGGAATTCCTGAAGAATTTGCTAAGCGGCTGACTTACCCTGTAGCTGTTACTCCTTGGAATATTGAAGAGATGCGAAAACTAATATCAAATGGACCTAACAAACACCCTGGGTAAAGATGTCTGATATTTTTTGAAGTAACCGATTTATTGGAACTGTTTTTGTAACGATATGTTTTTAGGGCTGTCATGGTAGAGCAAAATGGAGTTGTGAGACGCATAAATCCAAAAAATAGTACTCAACACCAGAGTATACTAAAATGTTTGTTGACTCCTGATGAAAAAGGTACCAAACATGTGAAAATTGTAAGTAGTATATTTTCTGGTTTCTGAGAAAGGGTCTGAATTTTCAGTGTGTATTACTAGAACATCATTTTCAGGTACACCGTCATCTGTGCAATGGAGATATCTTATTATTAAATCGTCAGCCGACTTTGCATAAGCCCAGTATAATGGCTCATAGAGCTCGTATTCTGAAAGGGGAGAAAACATTAAGGTTGCACTATGCAAATTGTAAGGCTTACAATGCTGATTTTGATGGTGACGAAATGAATGCCCATTTTCCACAGAATGAGCTGGCTAGAAGTGAAGGATACAATATTGGTAAAATAGTTTGATTATTTTAATTGCTAAATGGATATGGATGTTTTGCTTTAACATTTTCATGATAATATATCTAATAAAACCCATTCAACATTAATTGATGCCTATAAGAATCACCTGAGTTTTGACAAAAAAGAAGGAAAACATTTTTTTTAAACAAACTCTTTTTCAAAATATTCGTCTTTCAGATTAATACACCTTTGCCTTCCATTACTTTTTGTCATGATGAAAAATATAACGTTTCCGCTTGTTTTTCCTAGTTTCACCTTTGCCTATTGGCAAACAAATTGTTGTATATCAAACAGTGTAAACTGTTCTTCAATCCCCTATACAAATAGTGGAGATATGTCAAACGGAGTAAAAAAAACAAGCACCCGTTTTTTTGGAAGTGCTGCGTGAATGAACAACTTTTGTTTATCTTGAAATACTCAGTGTACAGTTGCTTAGTTTTAACTTCATACAAATATACATAGACTTTTTTTTTTGAGGCATTGTGTCTAATGAAAAGAAAGTTAGTACAAGAAAAATGTATTTTAGAAGCTTTGCCCAAAGTAATTGCTCTTTTCATAATAGAAACAACTATTTAACTGTCTTCCCATTTCAATCAAAATTGTATTCAGTGATAAACTACTTTTTCACAGGAAAGTGAAACAACTCTTACTGGAAAAATTTTATTGTACCTCAGAATTTTTATTTAAGTACTCTTTGTCAATCGATTGATTGAAAAGGTTCAATATGACTTAGAGGAATACTTCAGTGTAATCTTTATTATACTCAGTAAATTGGGACTATATGGAATTTATTTTTTATTAATTTCAGAGAAAAAAAGATAGATGTTTTTTGGTACTTTATTACCAAAAGTTGAAGGAAGTATTTCGTGAACATTCACGCACACTTGCTTTTTTCAAATACCCATTGTAAATTGAGTACACTGTTAATTTTCAAACGGCTACTGATTTTTTGGTAATCGCCATTACACATTTCAGTACCACTATTTAATGCTTGTTTGAAAAAACATAGAAGGGAACCTTGGTTCACCCAAGTATTAGAATGTAAAATTATTTCAGGTATATCGATGAAGAAAATTAACTGGCAGTTTTATTTTTTCAGTTAATGTTTCAAACCAGTATCTAGTGCCTAAAGATGGCACTCCTTTGAGCGGCCTTATTCAAGATCACATCATATCTGGGGTCCATCTTGGAATGAGAGGGCGATTTTTCACAAAGTACGGATAACCTAAACAACATTTGATGAATTCTTCTAAAGTTTCTTTCATTTTCAGGGAAGACTATCATCAATTGATTTACCAAGCACTAGCTTTTAAAACGACAGATATTATTTTATTACCACCAGCCATTTTGAAGCCCAATTGTTTGTGGTCAGGAAAACAATTAATATCAACTGTAATCATTAATGTTCTTCCTGAAGGGAAACCCCGTATTAATTTGACATCTACCTCAAAAATCCCAGTTAAGGTATGTATTATTATAGTTATTTAAATTCAAGTAATGCAGTTACTTCAAAATTGTAAATTTGGATTTTTGACAAGTAGAAGTATCTGAATAAATAAGATGTGATGTTTTAAAAATCACATCTTATTTATTCATATAAGAAAATTTACCAGTTTTTTGATGTTTTTTTATTCAATCGCATATATCTTATTGCTTGGATTTTTATTCATATATGAATTGAACTCTGATATCTGCAATATGAAACACTTTGATTGAATGACTAAAATGATTAAACTGAAAGGGGCATTATTAGAGATTCCCACATTTTTTTTATAAAGATAGAGAGGTAGAAAGCCAAAACCTTTCCACTCCACTAATGTGATCTAATTAGAAACAAATCGGTGAAAATTCATTTGATATTTTCTTTCCATTTCTCTTTCCTTCTGCTCTTTTATTGAAAAAAAATTCTCCTTTCTCGCTCTTGTTTTTGTAAGTTACAATTTTGTTGAACTATTGAACCTGTATCCAAGTAACACATATTTCTCTTAGCAAGAGCGTGTATGAACACGCCTGAAAAAGCCATTTTATAGTGAACCTGTATTTCCGTTGTGTAAACTGTTCAGGGATAATCTCATAATAAAGTGTTACTTGAATACATTATTCCATCACATATTACTGAACTTTATAAATTTGTGTTATTACTCTGATAGGCTTGGCAATCATGTGAACCTAGACATTGGAAAGCTGGGGGAACTCTCTTCAAAACCGATAACGACATGAGTGAAGCAGAGGTTATTATAAGAAATGGTGAATTATTATGTGGTATTTTGGATAAGAATCATTATGGTGCTACAACTTATGGACTCACTCACTGCGTATATGAAGTAAGTTAGTTATTATTTATGTCTCATTCAGTATTTTATTGATGACTGGAGACAATTTTGTACCTCCTGGAAAAAGGGTTATGTAGTTATTATAATTTTTTTTGTGCCTTACAAGTGAATTTCTCATTGTCAGTGGAAATTTATTCTAATTATGTCTCAAAGTAAAATCAGTTATGAATGAAAATGCAGAAACATGAATATTCATTACCAAATATGCTTTTGAATGGTTGATAGATGTGGTTGAGATGTCAGTATTCAAGAACAGATGACAGGTAATCCTGAGGTTTGTGATCAAATTGCAATCAAGTAGTTTTCCAAGAGAATAACTTGAATTATTCTCATACTGTATATTATTTAGATAGTAATAGTCAGCTAGTCTTCCCAAGTCTTGGTGCAGCTGTGCTGACTTATAAAGTCATCGATTACGTTATAAATTATGAACAAATATCAGGGAACCCAAGTTCGTACCTTGGCAAACTACTGATTGACTTTTTATCAGATCTGTGTAGATCAATAACTTTTTTAAATATACATTACATTTAGTTGAAAGGTAGAACTGGAACCTCTGGTGTCGAATCAATCTAAAAACAAATACCGTTCCCAAACTCTAGAACTACAACACTGTACTCCAAGCGTATCTCACCAACCAAGATGGCGTCTTCAGGAGATGAAGTAGACTGAGTCTACGTGCTTCGAGAAGAGTTCTGCAGTTATGGTGTTTGGGATCGGTGATTGTTTTGGATTACTTCTACACATGTAATTAATACAGATATTGGTCATGTCTGTTATACTTTGAGTTTTCTGAGAACAAAATAGAGACAGTATTATTTTTATTTCAATTGTTTGCTCAGCCTAGATCATATTACAAGACCTAATTATTTCTTCATTTTTATTTCCAGTTGTATGGAGGCACTTACGCTACAAGGTTACTATCATCATTTGGCAAGATTTTCATGTATTTTCTTCAGCAAGAAGGTTTCACTTTGGGAGTTCGAGATATATTGACGGTTCCACAAGCTGACGCTAAGAGGAAGAAACTTATTAAAAGTTGTCGGCAAATAGGAAATGGCGTTATGGCTACTGCTTTGAATTTACCCAAAAATACGTCACCCACAGAAATTCTAGATAAACTTGAAGAATTAAGCAGCACCAATCCTAAAATGAGAACACTTGTTGACAGACAGTATAAGACATCATTAGATAAGTACACAAATGAAATAAATAAGTGAGTATTTCTGATTTGAATTATATGGAAGTGCAGTAGGGCCACATATTTTTATCATTCGTTTCTTGAAAACCACGACTTTGAAAGTCCAAAATTTTGATTTCAATCTCAAACTTTTGACTTGTTCGAAATTTGAAGATCAAGTCATAATTTCAGAATTGAACTTATAAACATTTGATTACACTTTCTGGATATGAACCCATGTTATCTACCTTTCGGAAAATATTAGATAATGATAAACTGTATATACATATAGTGAGCGTATTATCAAAAACTGTTCATCTTCAAATTTTTTTGTAATCAAAAACAGTGGGACACTTTATATTGAGGAAGCTATGATATGGCATGAAGTGCCTCTTTTTATCTACATCCATTTATCCTCTGAAGCCGCCTTATATTAATTCAAATAGGGAAAGGAGTCAAAACTTTGATTCAATGTTGTTTTATTTCACTATACAAACTTGTCAGCTCGGTTTTCAAAACCGACACCAAATTTTCATTTCTATATAGTGTTTATATCATGGATGGCTTCGGATGGGTCCAAGATGATTCTTGGACTTTTCTAACGCTTTTGACTGTGTTAACCATCAAATTCGAGATATGGTATCATAAGTATAATTAATGATGGGTTTGATTCATATTTATCTGATCGCTTTCAAAAAGTCAGCCTGGGTAACAAGGTTTCAAAACTTTGCTGGCGTCTCTACTGGTGTACCCCATGGGTCCATTGTAGTTTCCACTTTGTTAATTGTTTTTATCAATGATCTACTTCATGCCATTGATAGAAACAATGACATTTGTTCAATAGCTCCATATACTTCATATGATACTAATGTATTGGTCAAACATAATAATAATGACAGCTGAATAATTGTATGCCAAAATTAGCATATGGGTGCAAAAGAATGAACTCTGTCTTAACGAAGACAAAACTGTATGCACTTTATTCAGTAGGTCAATACACTCAGAAAAAACCATTTCTTCAAATGAAACAATCCTTGAATATCAGGAACAGTCTAAAATGCTTGGATTGGTAATTAGTTGTAACCTCAACTGAGCCAAACATTGAAATTCTTTGCACTAAATTGGCCAGAACGATATATTCTCTAAAAATTGCTACAAGACAATATAGTAGAGTCATATTAGGACAACTATATTTTGCAACAGTTTATAGCCATCTGAGTTATTCTATTATACTATTCTATTATACTGGGGTCAAGCTTCTGAAGTTGCCAGTTGTAATGTAAAAAAAAAGTTATAAGTATTTTTTTAAATTTAAAGTACAATGAGAGCTGTAGAGATCAATTTAGATAAATGAGCATTTTGACATTATAATCACCATGGAGATTTCTTGTTTTGTTAACTAGTTTAGTGATCCAATAATTTTTCTGGAAAAAGGTCGGCGTGTCGAATTTACTTAAATTCGGCAAGAAAACAATTGTATTTCTTAAGGAAAAATTGATCCCGTTACCCAACCAACCTTTTTGCAGATTTCTTGTTTTGTTTTAAAAATTAAATCAGTTCTCAACCAGACCCGCAAATATGATGCGTACGCCACAGAATATAAAATACTCTTAATGCCATGTAAGTACAATACAAAAGGTCTATTTTATAATGGTTGCAAAATATTAAATAAATCTCCTACCAATGTAAAAGATATATACAGTTTGAATAGATTCAAAATAGAATTGAGATCACTGTTGATAAAAATGTAGGTCTACTCTCTGAATGTGTTTTTTCCTATGTGAAAATGTATTTTATTTCTCTTTCTTTTCATTATTATACCATTGTATGGCATTATGTAACGGGTCAGTTATTATTATTATTGTAAGATTCTTATACTGAAATGTAATATATATGATATAACTGGAACAAGTCTCAGGTGATTACTTGCAGCATCCCCAGCATCTTGGGTCCACTTTCTTTCTTAATATGCATCAATTATTTAACATATTCAACATCTAAGGTAATTTTACTTTATTTGCTTCATTACAACCAAACAACCCTTGTTCATTTTCCTTCTTCTTTTCACAAAGCTAGTTGTTATGTTTGCTTTGGCTGTACGATGTAGTTTTAATCACATTCTTTAATTTTACAGAGCTTGTCTGCCGGCAGGCCTCATTTCCAAGTTTCCTCACAACAACCTTCAACTAATGGTACAGTCGGGAGCCAAAGGATCAACCGTCAATACTATGCAGATTTCGTGTCTTTTGGGTCAGATTGAATTGGAGGGAAAACGTCCTCCGCTTATGATTTCAGGAAGATCCTTGCCAAGCTTTCCACCTTTTGAGTTTTCGCCTCGTTCTGGAGGGTTCATCGATGGCAGATTTATGACAGGAATTCAGCCCCAGGAATTTTTCTTTCATTGCATGGCAGGACGTGAGGTAAATATTAATGATTCAAACTTGTAGTTTCTTCTTAAATAGTCACTGAGTGGAGAAATCTTTCATGAAAGTCTATCTTTTTCAGGGATTGATTGATACTGCTGTTAAAACTAGTCGTAGTGGATATCTGCAAAGATGTTTGATAAAACACTTGGAGGGGCTTCGTGTACATTATGATATGACTGTGAGAAATAGTGACGCAAGTGTTATACAGGTAATATATCACAAGGATATATCTAGAAAATGCAAAGGATTGCTGTTAATTTTTGTTGTTGTTTTATAATTTCATGATTTGTATTATAGAAAAAAATGATTGGTGAAATTTATTCAATTATTTTTTCAAGAATATATATTCTGATTATACTCCACATAATTACCAGTAAGAACTACCTACTCAGGTACTTAATCAATCATAATTACCTCAACTTCCATAAACCTAAGGTACATCCTCAATTATGATTACCTAGAGCATATTATATCTTCTACATAAATGATAATATGTCAATGTTTCTCTTTCAATAGATACTTTTAATAAAGAACTCATTAGGCAAATTGCAGAAAAAAAAAGATTTAAACTGAATTAATAGATAAAATACTTTCCAAAAAAGTCTACGCAAAAGCGATACGGGAAGATTAGGATAACATCTGTTTCTAAGAAAACAAATTTAGTAATGATGATCTATTTAAATCTAGTTAGTCATTCAGTGAAATGTTTAAATTTTCAAATTAGCTAATTTCCATTGTTTCCAAATAACTTAGCATCAAACCTTCATTTTCTATGTGTAAAATTCCAAAGATATGATTTTTTAATATATTATTTACATAGTTCATATGATGTTCTTGGATGTCATTCCTAAATGTTTGCCGGTTTGACCAATATATACCTTGGGACAGGTTCCACAATTTAATTTATATACTCCTGATTTCTCGAATTTTGATGTTTTTACTTCTTGAAATAAATATTTAGGAATATTTATTAACATGGTACCAATAATAATATCATCTGCTACAGCAACTACATTATGGAAGTAACTATCTAGAGCTGATTATACAAATGAATGATCTACACAGTGAATCCTATTACCAATTTTTTTCATATTGTGGAAGGTGACAATACTCAAAAAAGTTAATGACAAATAGTGATAAAAGAAGTCTCAACATTTCTATCGGTGATATTTAATCTGTTTATTTTATTCAGTTCCTTTATGGCGAAGATGGGATGGATGTAACGAAAGCACAGTTCCTTAATGAAAAGCAACTTGGCTTTCTATCAGAAAATGTTAGCGTCCTTTCCCAAAAGGATATTATAAAACAACTTAAACGTGACAAAAACCAAGATCAGCTGAAACTACATAAAGAACAGGTAAGCCTTTTGCTTATTCAACTTTTGATAATTTTATGTCATTGTAACAAATGACAAAACCATAGCTTTAGAACGCTTCTCATTTGTGCACTGATTATTGTTTTATTTTAAAAGTAAATTTATTTGGTATTAGTTATTAATATTTCCTGTTACTTTCTTGTGAACTCTCCAGTAAAACAGCAATATTTACTGATAACACAACTACTGGCTTGAACATTGAAGATTTTAGAACGCTTGTTGAAGAAGATCTAGAAAAATAGTCAACTGGTGTGAACCAAATCATTTTTCCTTCAATATGAAAAACATTGACATTATTTTACTTTGCAAAATTTGTCGATTAATTCAGAAATTTTAGAAAACATAATCTGTGCCAAATCATTTTTAAACCATATTGACAACTAACCCAAATTCGATGAACATTTAGCAACAAAGAAAAAAGTCGTCTTTCGGTTGCTATGCATTTAAAATGATATCAATAAAATTATGGTTTTCTACTGCTAAAAGGTGTCCCATTTTTTATTTGGAACACATGAGGTATGAAATTCCATTTTGGGGTTGTTGCAGCAAAACTATCGATCTAAGAGAAAATTTACAGTAGTGTCCTTGTAAAATATTACCTGAAGAACAACAAAAAGTTGATTAGAAAAAAAAATATTTAGAGAATTTTCATAAATCCTGGACTACAATTCTTCTGTATGAACCAAAATACACCAACTGATTGGTCCGAATAAAAAAAAAATAATAATGTGAAAGACAAGATGAAGGAAAAGCAAGAGTTTGGGATTTATGAAACAAGCTATCAGGATTGTTATAGAAAAAGTATGTCGGTAAAATTACGCGGACTATAACTCGATACAAGGATTATGTTAAACATACTCGATTTCATAGACCAGAGAAGTCTAGTGTCGCTCAATCTTTGATATTGTTGTGGTCAGTACATGACAACAGGTTTTTAGATTCTTTGAAAGTTTGAAATTGAAAAATGGGTAATGAGATAAATTAATAGTGACAAAAGTCCTATTGCAAACATCTGATTGTTCAATTACTCTCTTACTCAATAACAGGAAAAAATATTAAGTATCATAACAAGTAGTCATTAACATTTAAATTAGGAATTAGAAAAGATTGACAAAAAAATTGGTTTATCGACGCTCATTTAATGACCTAATGTAAAGTGAAGATTCGTCCATAGCTTAAGGATGTAGTGTTAGTCATCTTCTGATGATGCTGCTAACTAGGGAAAAATGCGCTGAAAAACAGTGTGGAAAGTGTTTTTGATAGATTTGTAACCATGATTTATTTCTAGCAAAATCATCATTATCATCATCATTATTTTTTTTAGATTGCTCAGTGGAAACGAAAATTCGGCAACCCTTTACAACGCAAACGTCAGAGCCCTTTCTCATTATTTTCTCAATATGTGAAATCAAAAGCAGGCAAGAACAAAGAATTCAGCGAGAAACAAATTATGCAATACTGGAGAGAAATTGACGAGGAGATTAGGCAAAGGTAATATTTCTAATTTATTATATTTTTCTCGTACTTATTAATATCAAACAAGGTTTTCAGAGTGACTATTTTCCGGGTTTGAAGGCCGTCGATTTTTGTAATTTCTTCCTGAGTTTATCTTCGATGACTGGAAATTACGGCTGCGTAAAGCTTATATATGTTGACTAAACTACATGTGTCAACATTAATATACTTTACGCAGCCGTAATATCTAGTCATCGAAGATAAACTCAGAATGTATGGACCTTGAAGAAGCTAGCTACTCGCACCAGCGAAACGTCAGGAAGAAATTCGAAAAATCGACGGCCCTCAAATCCGAAAAATAGTAACACTGTTTCAATAAAAAACTGTCGTTCAATAACCTCTTCAAACGGAAATGTGGTTGCATATGAAAAATAGTACAGTAATTCCTGTACCAAAAATCAATAATTCTAATGAAGCCATCAACTTTAGTCTGATAAATACTTTATCTCCCATTGAAAAAATTATTGAGAGGGTGGTATATCAACAATTGATTAATTACATTGAAAGTAATAAACTGATTATGATGAACCAATCCGGTTTTCAATCTGAACACTCATGTGAAACAGCATTACAAGTTTCAATATCCAAATGGAAACTTGCTGTTGATGATAATAAATATATAGTGGCAGTGTTTCTAGACTTCAAAAGGGTATTTGAGACAATTGACATTAATATTCTACTAAAAAACTCAAATATTATGGAATTTCTGGTTCAGTACTTGAATGGTTTAAAAGCTACCTCTCTGGTCGAACTCAACAGACTGAAATTAACGGGACATATTCAAACCTAAAAGGTGTCAATAATGGTGTACCTCAAGGTAGTGTCTTGGGCCCGGTTCTGTTTGTTCTTTACATTAATGACATCAACTTCATTAATGGATGTCAATTCATCAACCTATTCGCAGATGATACTCTGATTGCATTGAGGGAACCTGAATTACAAACAGCTATCAATAAAATTAATGATATGATCAGAATATCTGAATTCCTCAAACTCAAGCTCAATTTCAATAAAACGAAAGCAATGATAATTACAACAAAACATAAACATCATTCAATTGAAAAACATCTATAAGTATAAATATTTACAATCAAAAAATTGAAATCGTCGAGGAATTCAAATATTTGGGGTTTATCGTGGATCAAACACTGAATATAAAAAAACATTTCAATTATATCCGCAATAAAATTGCTAAAAAACTATTTTTCTATTGCCATGTAAACGGTTGCTTACCTTTTCAGACTTCCATTACAGTTTTCAAATCAATCATTCAACCACATTTCGATTACTACGCTATTTTACTATCACAACTTGATGCAAATTGTTTGTCTACATTACAAAAACTACAGAATAGAGGCATGCGCCTAATTTTAAGATGTAATAGGTATACGCCAACTACAACAATATTGGAAGTTCTGGAGACCAAAACCCGCTGTGAAATCTTTAGTGTAAATGGTACAAATAGTTTGGTTGAAAATGAGCACATAAAATTTCTAGGTATAGTTTTAGACCCACAACTGAGGTGGACAGCCCATATAAACTGTTTATGTAACAAGCTGTCGCAAGTGATATTTGCACTAAGAAAAATACGACATGTCACAAACATGGAAGCAACAGTATCTGCGTATTATGCATTGTTTCATAGTCACTTGATGTATGGAATACAGTGTTACGGTAATGCAGTATCTACACATATTACGAGAATTTTCACATTGCAGAAAGCGGCAATAAGATCTATTTTGAATGTACCATGGGATACCAGTTGTAGAGAACTATTTCCTTCATTAAAAATCATGACCATCTACTCACTGCTCATTTATCAAAGTATAATAACAGTTAAGTCAAAGATAAATGAACATGCAACACACTCGTCAATTCACCCTCATGATACCAGACACAAACACAATTTGTTGGTGCCATTATGTCGTCTGCAACGAACGCAAAGAGACGACATACGGCTCTTCAACCTTCTTCCCACAGAGTTTAGGAATAGACCCTCGACGCAATTCAAAAATCAATTAAAACAGATACTATCAAATAACTGTTTCTATAGTATACTTGAATTCGAAACATTCATCAAGAAAAACAGAAATATCTTCATGACCCACAGAAACCTGTAGTTTTATTTATACTGATAGCACAATTCATCATTATCTATATACATACTTTATATATTTATAATGTATAATGCCATTGTTTTTATGTATTATTTAGCTTTTCTATTGCGTTATACCTTCTATTTTTTTATCATTAACCAATTTTAATGTATGACCTTATATAAATTTTTAAATGTATTTTTCTACTGACCTGTCTACAAACTTTATGTTTCTTGAGACCAATAAAAATTATTATTATTATTAT